GGGAGCTTTTCGAGCATTCAGACTTAAACTGCTTCCTCACACCTACTTCATGAATATGAAGAGTTGTGGTGGGAGGAGGTGGTGTGAAATCCTCTTTTGTGTGGGGTGAGGAGGGGGGTGTTGTAGGTGAAGTGTTTGAAGGTGGTGATGGCTCTATGGAGGAGGGAGAGGTGGGGGAATGAGTGTCCATAGTGTCTCCATTGTTGGGGCCGTTGAAGGTGTGAAGGTTGTCTGATGGCTCGTCAAAACGGCAGTAAAAGTCGTTAAGGGTGTTGGCCAAGAGCAAGTCATCAGTGGAGTGGGGGGTTTTAGGCTTGTAGTTGGTGATATTCCTAAAACCTTTCCACACAGAGGCCGAGTCATTCTCTGAGATCTGCTGCTGCATCTTCTCAGGCCTCGAGGGTCGGTGTCCTGCAGGTTTTAGATGTGTCCTTGATCCAACACAGCTGATTTAAAAGGCTAAATTACCTCCTCAACATGCCTTTAAGTTCTCCAGAGGCCTGGTAATGAACTAATCATTTGATTCAGGTGTGTTGATCCAGGGTGATATCAAAAACCTGCAGGACACCGGCCCTCGAGGCCTGGAGCTCGACACCCCTGCCCTAAGGCGTCAGGTCCAGAAAATAATCATGTGGCTTTTCTACTTTGTCGGCAGTTCTGACACTTTTGCTTACAACGATTTTAAACTCAAAAGTTTGTAGAGGCTTGTGATAGCGAGGGGACAGAGGGGGAAAAAAAAAAAGTTCTGCATTTGTTCACTAACATTTAGAGATAAGCATTTGTGACCATAAATACTTCTAGCTAGTAATTAATGTAATTAATAGCTTGCTCAGGATAAGGCCAGCACATATTGTGTTTTTGCCCTGCAATACTTCCTTACTTTGTGACTCCGTCTTTGATACTCATATTTTAAAAATGCTATTTGAGAGACTTGTAATTATAAAAATATGACTTCTTCTTTAAAAAGGTACTTACGTTATCTTCCAGGTCATTATGGACCTTCTTCTGGGCTTCTGCAATCTCCATCAGAACCACACCTGAGGAAAAATTCAGGAGATTTAGTATTTCAGTAATTACAGCTAATCATTGATTTGTGTATCATGTGGGGTTCCACATGCAATCCTTGGTCCCAAACAAGGTTTGTACATATTTCTAAAAATGATTTACTGACAAAAGGTTTACTGAGCTTTAAAGTTGCTGGCAGAGACTTATTGTTAGAACACCCTTTGACAGAATTATTTTGCTCTACACCCACAAAAAAGTACCTTGTTTTTATTTTTTACTGCTGGTTCTAACTTCATTTACTATAGGGACACGAGAAGGTAGCCGATCATTTAATCAAAATTTGCGCAGCAAATCCTCGAATATTAAATACCATGAATCTTAACCTGTTTCTTTATGAGGGGTAGGAGACAGCATTGGATACCAGCAGGCACAGATCCGAAAACATAATATCAACAGTTATTACTTTTTCAGAAACTTTGTGTATAAATCCATCGAGCCTGTCATACATTTGTTACAGTCCATATTTTACAGATGACCTCTCGTGTTTCAATATTTGAACAGCTGTCAATAAGTAATCTCCTATGAAACATTCTGGTATTGTGCAGTCGATTACAGAACAGTCTCCATTCACAGACAGGCTAAAGCACAGACCGAGCAGCATATGACATGAAACAATGGGAGTGACTCAATACTGTAAACAGAAGGGGACAATCATAGCTAAGCAGTTTATACTGCTACCTCTATCACAATTGGGTGAAATCTAGAGTCGAGGTTTATTACAGGGCAAAATGCTCTGGTGAAACCGGCAAAACATGCACAGCACACCTCACCCCCCACCCTCTACCTCATTTCTGAACATGTGATAGTCAATGAGGGAAAAGAGCAAAAGTGAATGACCTACATGGATTTCAACACCTTGTGAAGAAAGTGTACAAAGCACAAGCATCAGTTTCACTTTGTCATTTTTAGGTGAAAGCAAAAAAAAAAAATCTCTATAAGTCACCCTGTTCAGCACACTCCACCTTTGAACACCTACTCATATACATTCGATCCAACCCCTGACATTCCTCTTTATATGACACCCCCTCCCCAGCTCAGAGCAAACAAACGTAACGATACATAAGTGTACGTCTGTGTCCAGCAGGCAGCATCCAGCTACAACAACATTGCCCTCTGAAGGTCACCAGAACGTACTGGTAAATGCTGCCTTTGTGTTTCGACCCGGGGGTTGGTGGGGGGTGGCCACTGGATGTTGAGCTGTTTGCACAGCCTCAACAACAGACCACATGGGGTGGAAGGGGGAGGCTGAGAAAGGCCAGGAGGGGGAGGCGGCGGGGTTCAAAGAGGCCATTGTACACCTGCAAGTTTCACCTTTGGGGTGAACAAGGTGTGAAAGCCTGCCTCAGTGAGGATAAATGCTACAGAAAGTCATCAGAGGGTGCATGAGCCTATCACATGAACAACTGACGGCTGAATCAGAGTTAAGAAAAACAGCACAATGCATGACGTCTGTAATTTTTTCATTTTTTTTAAGTGCAGGTAAAGAAAAAAAAAGTCTTTGACTACATAATTTTAACAGAAAACGGGGCTTTTCAGTTCATCTGAATATCTGTGTCTGAATATCAGTGTAACTTCCCCTCAAATTTTTCAAATGAACAACTCCACGTTCAATTTTTTTTTTTTTTTTGCAGGTTAATACAAGTTTGAGAAAAGATCCTTGTGGAGAAAGCACACATGATTCACACCTGTGATTCACTATTATTAATGCCGAACCCCTCATTCAACACCCGCTGAGTCCATGTAGAATTTACTCTAGCCTGTGTATTACAGATAAGATGTCTTACGACGCCATTAAATGACCTTTGGATTTTAATCAAACACATGTTGTTTGGAGGATCTGAAGCTTAAACAAAGCAAGAAAAACTATAACCCAACTGCGCTGTAAAACAAAGCAATGGCTGAAATGAACCCCTAAAGAGACATTTCTTTGAGATTATGTTAAACTTCAAACAGCACCATGTTTCCACACAACTGGCACTATTGAATAACTGCTGATACATGGCAGAGTAGGCAAGGCCTTAGACACTGTCGACAGGTGACTTTTATGAGACGGATATGGCCTGTGCCAACAAAAAAGCAAAAAAATAAAAAATAAAATCCCGCCTATGTGGAGTTAGATAAGGAACATGAGGTGATGTTGGCATGGCAAACAGCAGCACTGACTTTTCTAGCATAGACTCTCTTTGTTTGAAAGTTTGATCAAACTAATTTTTCACCCATTCAACGAGTGTACACAGCAATCAACTAGCTCAGGAAGTGTCCCCAGTCATCGGCCATCGTCTCGCAACGCGGTTTGATCACTGAGACACATCACTGGGCTTGTTCCAGCAAGCATGCAGTGTCTGCAGTGAATCATGGCCACCTCCTGTGTGAATCAGGATCCAAGTTATAAACATCGCAATGAAGGTGGGACAAGGATTGTGTTTGGGGGTTGCCATGGAGGAGCTACGCCCTTAATATCAACATAATGATGTCACTGTAATCAATGATAACGAGAACGATAATGAGAACCGCAATATGCAGTTCATCCATCCAGATGACTACATGAACAAAGTGCAACTGTAGACCACATTAAATGAAGTACGTCTAGTGTTTCACGTGATTTCCCTTCACACTGCCGGCTGGGTGTTGGCATAATCCACCAAGGTAGATTCTTTAGGCACTGCCAGCTGAAGGTTTGCCAGAAACAAAGAAGACATTTTTTAAAGTAGTAAGTAATGAATAGAAAGAAAATAGTTGCATTACAAATAAAATAAATTATAGAAAATGTGCTTACATTTTCTCTTCTCAGGAAAATACAGATATGATAGCTCGGCAAACATTTACTGATTACTATAATATCCTTTGTTTTGTTTTATAAGAGATCAAAAGCTTCAGAATGACTAAACAAATGGCACTTAAAGTGAGGCAGTTTTGTCAACCCCACCTCCAAAAAAAAAACAAAAAAACAAACCTCCGGCATAAAATCAAGCAAATATTCTCCAGCCGACTTGTGAGAGATTTCTTTAATGGAAGCCTGATTTCTAGATGATCCACACACACACACACACACACACACACTTTCTGACCAGATCTCTTCCTTTCCTTTAACACACACTGAGATCTCAAGTAGCAGGAACAGTTCTGAGTTTGACTGCTTCCTCCTGTGTACTTAAAATATTTCGTAGTCTGATTCCCCTAAAATTCTTCAAAGTTCACACGTATGAAGGTGCTTATCTGCTTAGTGCATTATGGATTGAATCTTTCAGTCATCATCATCATTTACATAAGGCAATTTTGGGTGTTGATTGTAAGTTTCTATTCAATAACAATCACCCACAGTAACATTTTTTGGTTGAATGTTGTTTAATGGTTTGAGTAGTTACAGTGAATAAATATCTACTTGGTCTGTGGACAATAAATATCAGTGTAAGTTGACTTGACAAAGAGCAATGACTTGCCGTCACATAGAGTACAGAATATCATTTATTAATACCAGAGCCAATAATACCCCGAGCACAATGAGTCTCAATTTTCCTAATAGATTAAATTAAACACCAGCTTCAAAGGACTTCTAAAGGTTAGATGAGGTTAGTTGAGGTTGTTACATAAAAACAATCATCATATGTACAGTATACACAATTGAAGTTTCATATCAAGCCCAATGTCAGCTGTTTCGTTTCTCATACGCTGTGATATTAGGTTTTAAGACTTTAATTTGGATGATTCATTAGTTCAATCACGCCCATGGTTAGACAGCAGGATATATATACCATATCTGCAAATAAACGTAAAGAACTTTCAGCCTCAATTTCTCATCTTAGCCAATCTCTGTATGAGAGTAAGAAAGATAACACAAATAAGATGTTATGTAAAAGTAGTCCAAATGTGATTTTGAGGTGTAGGCTGGTAGATTTTTTTAACCTCTTGACAGTGTTAGCAATGTTCTCATTTACAGTCTTTAAACTAAATAAGTTAACGATCTCCGGCTGCTGTATTGCAAATTAATGGCGCAGTCACACTAGAATAAAAATAGGACAGCAACCTCCTTGTCTCCAGGGAAGAAGAAGAAGAAATTGGAAAAAAAATATCCACTGATTGAACTGGACATTTCTACACTTGAGGACAAACAGCTAGTACCTGTGTCAGCTAAATTGCCAGAGAGCCTCTGGAGGACCACTTTTGAAGGCAAGGCAATTCCACAGGTTACCTGGGATGAAGCAACCTGTCTCCACACAATTGCAGTCTGACTTGGACTGTCTGCATTCGCTCTCACAGACTGGTAAAGGTTTGCAAGTAAGTGCTGTCTAATTTTTAAACACGGACAGACAGGACGCTCCAATCTCAGTCAGTCTATGCTAATTATCACAACTCATCAGCCATTTGCAATGAGATTGCAAGTTCATTGCACGTGGTCACAACAAATTTAGTCATGCTATACCCAACCATTTCCTCTCAGTTATAGCATATGAATTAAAAGAGGACATCAATCGTTTTGCTCCCAGAACAAAACAAACACATTTTCTCAAGAAACATAAAATTTTTGTTTTACCTCAACTTCTATAATTTTCTGTTATTCCATTATTACTTCACAATCATGATGGCAATGATTTTGATTTTTAAAAATGGGCGTAAATAATGTATCACAGCACCACTATTTTGAGAACAGCGCTTTTAAAACACAGCTGACCTGAAAAAGCCAGGCAAAAAAAGAAACGCCATCACAGATGATTCTCCGCAGGAGGAAAAAAAATGTTGATATGTCACCAAAGGAAAGACACAGGTACTACTAATGACTTAAAAATGACTGCTTCTTTTAAGCTGATCAGGTTCCAGGGTCATGGTGAAGTGCACGCTGACTCACCAGCATACCTTTCTGAGACACTTAAAGAAGGTGAACCATCACTCCAGCTAAAACGTGCATCATAAAAATACATTTGATAAGGAGAAACACATTTTTACTCATTAAAGTCCAACACTGCAGGATATTGCAGTTCTAAGTTTGCAAGGTGTTTTCTTTTTCTTTTTTGAGGGGCAGGATTTCTTCCAAAGAAGATACATTTTTGACTTTTCTGAATCATTTCTGCTTGTTAGTAAAAATAAACCGCTTAATTGCACACTGACTACATAGGCTTTACCGAGTGTCATGTCTAAAGATTAAAGCCATCCTCTGAAACAGCTACAAAAAAAGATATTTGAAGTGCCAGAAAGTCTTATTCACCATAACATTAACCAGCCTCCAGAAGAAATGGTGCCTCTCAAAAGCAGAAACCTGCTACAAAAGCTATCAGCAGGACACACTCAGACTCCCAGCTCTGAATTCTCACTCTCTAAAGTGAAAGAAAAATCATTCTGCCTGACAACCATTTTTCTATTGCAGACAGTTTACGTCAATATTTATTTATTTTTTTTTTAAATGAACTAAGGCTTGACAAACAGTGCAGAGAAAAGGTGGAAGGGGTGTGGTTCGTGCTATTCATTCGCCTGTAACATTTTCAGCCTTTCGATACCTGCTGCTTTTCAAAGTGGAATAGCTCCCTGTGGAGTCCGGCCGTTTGCTCATGCATAGGCAATTTCAAAATGTAAACCCACTGGATATGACATTCATCAATCAAAAGAAATCTTTTTGTAATGACCCGCTGAAATGTAATTTAGGACTAGCAAAAGCAGGCGACAGCTATAGAAGTCTGCAAACCAGCTATGCAGAGACAGACAGCAGTAGTTAGTAGCAGCAGTGCACTGAATGATCACAGATGGAAGGAGATGTGGGACAAAAAGAGTGCATGGCTGAAAAGCTCATTATCCAAGGAACTTACTGATAAAGTGAATTCCCCACAGTGCTGCCTTTTATGAATCCACTAAATGAAATTAAAGGAGTGCAAGAAGAGTGACACAGGTTAAAGGCTTTCACTCATCTGAGCACTTAGTGTTTCTTCAAAAAGAAAAAAAAAAATCTTTTCTTATTACTTTCACATCCATCACAGCAAGAATCTGAGAAATTGAGCAGCACCCAAGTAAAAGCCTCGGGTAGCTTTCAGCAAATACCTGCTAACCTCTGTGACGCACGAGCTTTGTGCCATTCACTGAGGGAGGAAGAGAAAAAAAAAAAACACAACACAATCTATGACTACAGAGAAAAGATCTTTACAGGTGTCTGCAGCAGAGAAGTGCAGAGTAATCTATCAGGTGCCTCATTCTGAAGAGTCGTGCTGCTTAGAGTAAATAAAGATTAAACACTCGCATCCTCTTTTTCAGACCGTTTGGAGAGGCAGATGGAGGGATAGGGGGCTGAGGATCAGCGGTGGGTAGACGGTCTCCTCTGTCTATCTGCCTGCCTGTCTGTTTGTTCAGCACGTTTGCAACTCTACGTGCTGCAGTGGGTGAGAGAATTCACACCACCATGTCGTCTACGCCAGGCGGTGAAGGAACGGCCACGGAGCCTGGAGTTCAACACTTCACCTGCCATTTCTGCATTCATTCTTATTCAAAGTCGAATTGATTTTTTTTTATGACTGAAGTCACATAACATGATGGGAGTACATACAGATGAATGCACCTAAAGGAAGAATACACAAACCATGTAGCACAAACTATTCTTGAGCATTTGTTAACCAGAAGGGGTCTGTTTCAATAAGGCTAGATTTGACTAGAAAGTGCAGAGTCCTCCCATCTGTGACTTTCCACAACAGGAAAGAGAACAAAAAAGAAAGAAAGTAGAATTTAGTGTTCGTAAAGCCGTTTCACTTCAGCGGTTCTGGTATGCTCAGACAATGCTACGTAACACCAACATATTATTAAATGAAGAAATGAAAACTGCTATTGTTCGCTGACAAGAGCGCCTTAACAAACATGGGCAGCATTTCATAACAGCGCAGTATGAGACGTCTCCGATTACATTAAAACATTTCAGCCCTCGTCAGAATGTCAAAATACAAATTTCCATTGTGTGCGTTGCCACTTTGTAGCTAGATGGGCTGCACTATTCTTTTTCAGTCTATGCTTTTTTCTGAGTTTTTATTTTCTGAGTTTTATCCTCAAAATTCAGAAAAAGAAACTGAGCAAGAAAAGTCTGAGAATCTTGTCTGGGAGTCTACTTCAGCATTAAAACGCATTCTTCATCTCTGTGTTTTACCACGACTGCTTTTGTCCTTCACTGAAATTGTTATTTTCTTCTAAAAATTCTTTGATTTTTAGTCTAAAATCTTATCAAAGCTTAATAAAGGCTTAAAGGAAAGCAGATTTGATTTAAAATAAGAAAACTTGTTCAGAAATAACAGCGAAGAAATCACAACACAGGAGACAACCACTGTCATCACAATAGTCCTTTACAAAAAACAACAACAAAAAAACCCCCAACAACACACTGACAGAGCATCATCTTTTAACTACCCTGCTCTGATTTCCTGTCACATCACTCTGATTCATAAAAAGGCCGAACTGCAAAGCCCGGCATTACAGAGTGATGCAGCAGAATACAAAAAGCAACTTAATGAATTGCAATATGACCCCCCACCCCCACACCCCCCCACACCCCCGAACAAAGCGGGTCGGCTCCAAATTTCAGCACTAATAGAATAATTGGAGATGACTCAGAGGATGGATGAAAAACAACCTGTACGTGCTCGATGGCAGCCTCAGAGGAGGCTGAAAAGAGAAAGTGCTTCAGTTGGAGTGAGAGATAGACAGGACATAATAATGAATTTCTGCTAAGTACCTCACCCCCAGGGTTGAAGCGTTGTTATTTTCAGATGCTTGTATATTTAACTTGCATATTGGGTGATGCAAGCAGAACGTGTCACTATTACGCTGAAACTGCAGGAAAGAGCATTTTGATACGTGTCCAGCTCACGTAATACTGGCAGGATGTGAGAGAGTTTAGCATCATTTCAAGAGAAACTTCAACCATGTGGAAAATATATGTAAAATGTTTGGGAACAAAGTGGTTTCTTATCAAATGTTGTCAACTTGTACAGGTGTAGGGTTTGTGGGGGGGGTTTTGCACAGCTAGTACAAATAGAGTAATCAAGAGGAAAACAGGAAGCCTATACTTGTTAGCTTGCCCTTTCCCAAGCTAACAAAAATAAATCTGTCACACTGATATTAATCAAAGCACAAGTGTTAAACTTCACGTCTGCAAAGTCAATCCATTGCTACAGTACTTTAAACCTACATTCTAGCCACCAGGGGGCGACTTGTCTGGTTGGTAAAAAGAACTTGGCTTGTATATAAATTTATGAGAAAATGAAGTTACTTCGCACTTGATTTATGACATGACTACGCACTTTACTAATGTGTTTAAGGTCTCAGTTACTAATTTTAAGTCTTATTTAATAGAGCACAATGCTTATTTTGAAAAATTATCATTTTGAGCAGCGGCCAGAATCAGCCCTGGGCCTTATGTTTTACAATGTCTTCACAGTAAAATGCATAAATAAAAAAGGACATTTTTTGTGAATTAACGCATTAACAGTAATTGTTGTTAATTACAGCACAATCTGGGCAACGAGCTACCAGAAAATGTTTTGTAATTTATTTCATTTATTTCTTACAATTTACTCCTATATAGTATGCATCATGTAGAAAAACTGAGACGCGCACTTCTTTAGCATATATCAAGTCCTCTCTGGGATTAAATGTGCAGTTAAACTACCAGAACACTTAAGATTAAAGTGGGATCCATGTAAAATGTGTTCAACTTCCTCGACTTACATGAATACCCTAACAGGGACAACTGAACAAGGTATGATTCAGGGTACAGGTATTATAATCTGTTAAACAGACATTTTCCGGCTAGTTTCTACTGTATGAGTACACACTTTCAAGGTCTTTCATGGTGACTGTAAAAATACTCAAACTGAGGCTTCAAAATGGTCTTTCACAAACTAATTGTTGACAACAGCGAGGCACATAACCCTGCTGTAAAGATACAAATTGGTGTTTTTGCACATTAGTAACACAGAATATTTGTGAATTGTTCTTTGGGGTAGCAAAGTGGATTTTGTTGGTTTAGTTTATTTTCAAGGTCTATAATAAGCTAATGGCTTCTGGCTATATTCTTACTTTCGTGTAGAGACATTAACTTAAAATTAATTTTAATAAAAGAATTATTCCACGATCTCCAACTATTCCTTTAATTGTATTTAAACATAAGAGGAAGTTTAGAGTCACATTCTTTTAAAAGCTTCGATCTCACAGCAGAGACATTTCTAGCATGGATATCAGACAGACCCTCTCGAGAGCTCCCACATTGCAGGTAGATTTAAAGTAGACTTGCATAATACTCACCGAGCTCTCTGGAGACTGGAGACACGATAGCAGTTTCTCCGATCTTTGACACTGCATCAAAATAAGCCTTTCCAGCAAGAGCCATTGCTGTGCGGGCAGACAGACAAGACACTGTTAAGCTCCAGACGATTTCCAGGATCATTTATAGCTCTGCTTCGACCATTTAAAAGTGCTGCCAGTGTAAAAACAGCTGAGGTACACCAAAATTCATTGTAGCGGTTACGGACCATTACGGGCTTATGCCCTTTTGTCCCTCATGAGGGTGAAAACTGTGTTTACCTGTGACTGATTTCTCATAGCTCTTTCCGAGGTTGACCAGGTTCCTCAGGCCTGGGTTGAACTGCTCCATTACATTCTGGGGTAAAGAGCAGAGTCTTATTATTGTGAATAAAAGCAAGAAAAAGCAAACAAACAACTTTAACTTTAAGACTTGTTTTCCCCTTTTTGAAAGGTCTCGTCATTAACAATAAAACCCTCATAAGGCTATTTTTGTGGGAGTGGGTGGAGAAGAGAAATCCATGAAAACAAGAGCAAGTGTTTGTGCAGTTGCTCTATAAATATCTCCATGTGAGAACAATAAAACTTTCAATCTTTAACTTGACCCCTCACGTATGTCATGCAACTCCCTCGAAAGAGCGAAGTCCCACACAAAGTCCCAGCTATTTGCAGCACCAACTTCATCACGCTCACCAAACCACCCATCTCCCCCTCCCTCTATTGTAATCTCCCAATAATCAAGCACTGCTCACCCCCTGCCTCTATTCCCCTGGCACACTCTCAATAGAACAATGAAGGGGGCAGGTATGGCTTTACATGAGTGGGGGGCAGCTGAGAGGAAAAACAGTAAACTACTGTAAACTACAGGTAGGACTAGTTCAGTCTCTTTTTCCCTGCTCCCCAAACCAGAGAGGGCACTTCAAAATGCACCGAAATTCAACCTAACTGTCGTACTTAAACTTTTACTCTAAACTGTTGTCTATTTCTACTTCAGGTCATAGACAGTGAAGGCTCACTGCTTATCACCATTGAGAGGTAGAAGTATAATGTTGATTAGATTAGCCAGGAACAACCAATCAAGATTACACTCAAATTATTGCTCCAGTGATTTCAGATGTTCTGATAAAGCCACAGCAGATTGATTGAGCTGTGAGAAGCTTTAACACTTCTGTGGTTCACTGTGATTTACGAAATTATTTAATAACAGGGAGTGTCCCTGCTGTGGCAGTGGCATTGTTGAATTTTCTTTTCCCCTGGTAAACAACAGAAAGTTTCAGTTGCTCGATCAGTTTCTCTTTTTCCCACCCCCTCACAAAACAGGTCCTTGAAACAAGAGGTAACAAAGGGTAAGGGAAACACTTCATTATTTTATGGTACTTTACCTGTGGTTTACAGCCACTGTTGAAAAGCAACAAAGCAGACTCGCTGAACTATAAATTTCTGATTACACCTGAAGTGAACTACATTAAAAAAGCGACCCCTCCCAAAAAATAAAAATAAAACAAAACAGGTATTTCCTTAAATGTTGAATGCATCACTCACCTTAAAAGTACTTTCAGTGAGCTTGCTCACATGCTCCGGAACCCGAGCCATCACGGCAGGTTGTTTCTTAATCTCAGAATTAAAAAAAATAAAATAAAAAAATATATACACACAATATAAATAATATATAAAAAATAACAACAAAGCGGAGAACAAAAAGACACTTGGTAATCCAGGAGTTGTCTCGGTCCGAGTAATAAATCCCACAGCGAATCCTGCTCCGTGTCTGTACACTGTGCACGCGAGCAAGCTGAAACGCTCGTGCAGCCGGCGGCGGACGAACTGACTGGGACACCGAGAGACTTCCCCGTGCCTTTAGGGGCGAAGAGGGGGGGAGGGGGGCAGCGCGGAAGGGTGGTGGTGGTGGAGGAGGGTGACGTCACAAGAGGTGTTACACAGGTCAAAGTTCTCAGCTGGTGAGTTAGAAAGCTGTGGGCTGTTGATTCTCAGGACTGTTAGCGAAAAACACCATAGAAATGTGACGTATTTTGTCAGTGGGTTTTAGATATAATATTGCTTTTGGCCTGGAGAGGGCGCTGCTGTACAATAATTAGTACAGTCACAGTGACGAAGGAAGTTTTGCACCATGAATAAATCGTAGAAGGTTTACTGGAAATCTGTACTTTAACGAGAACTCGCATTATTTCTCAACTCAAACTAGTCTTCTCTTTAAACTTTAGTTAGTCGCGATTTTTAACCTCTAATGCTGAATACACCATCAGTAGCTCTCAACAGGTGAAACGCATCAGAATATTATCTTTGTACATGAAAGGTCAGTGGGTATATTTTTTATGTTATGTGGGCTATATAATTGTCATTCATCATCAATATCCCATCAACCTATGAGTTCTTAAACGATTGGCTATATGTTTGGGGATTTTAATGAGTAATTAGGAAGACCTATCCATCCAAAGCAGTAGTACAAAACACTAGGACTTTATTAGACTCTGAAAGATATAATGAATCACAAGCCTAGTAGTGGTAAATCCGGACTGATTTACAGTTAAAAATACACTGCCATATTTTGACACATACTATATCAATGTTCAGGATCAGCTTGTAAACCTTCAGGTAATGTACATATTATTTAACAATGCAATTTGCACCATTCTCTTGCGTTATGTATCTTTATTTATACACAATATGTCTATAGTTCACAAACCAGCATGCTCTGTTTAAGTACATGCATGTGCTGTTGACATATTTACTCCCCCCATGACCCTGAATTGAATTAGTGGAAGAGGATGGATGCATGGAAGTTATAAACATGAATACTAAGAGGTGAATGCAACTGTCACACTCCAGTTGAGTATTCACTTTATGTGCAGTTAAGTTCAAAGAAGGTACAATTTATGCTGATTGAGCCTGTTGCTTTCTCAGTGCTTAAAAATGGTCTAAGATCTCCCACCACACTAACAAGCTTTAAAACTATCTGAACCTTCTGTGACGTAATCACAGCAATCTCAATGCCAGTGAGTTGCAAACCACGCCCATCATTGAAACTAGCCTTCATTTAGATATCAACAATGGACTTGTAAAGTTGCGTAACTGTATCTTTTGTCATGGTAAAAGTTCGCCTTGTAATCGGAAGGTTGCCGGTTCGAGCCCCGGCTCGGACAGTCTCGGTCGTTGTGTTCTTGGGCAAGACACTTCACCCGTTGCCTACTGGTGGTGGTCAGAGGGCCCGTGGCGCCTCTGTCATTGCGCCCCAGGGTGGCTGTGGCTACAATGTAGCTGCCATCACCAGTGTGTGAATGGGTGGATGACTGGATATGTAAAGCGCTTTGGGGTCCTTAGGGACTAGTAAAGCGCTATATAAATACAGGCCATTTACCATTTGTATAGTTTCCAGAACAATAGGTCTCAGCAGCATGTCATCTTGCTACACATTAGTGATTTTGTTTCTGTACCAACATTTTTAAAACACAAGTGTGTGAAAAAAATGGAAAAATGAAAAGTTAAATTATTTTCTATACATTTTTTACATTTTATTGCAACCTTAACAGCCTGACTGCTACTGGTGACAGAGTGTGCAAAATAAAGAGGGAAAAATTAAACTCTAAGTGAAGCAAGACCTTTAGGATTTTATCTATAAGTTAGTTAAATTACACTAAATAACTGATGTTTTACCCTCATAAAAATGTTAAATGAAAGGTTTATGTATTTGAATATTTAATCATTTAGGAAAATAACCAAGTATGTAATTTGACCAGATTCCATGTAAGAAAGATTTAAAAAAAACAACAACAAAGAAATAAAGAAAAAAAGAAAATTAACAGTAAACCTAGCCCTGTAACATCCAGTGTGTCATATCTCATACGTATATCTCGTACGTCTTTGTGATTTGTTTTTGTAACCCTCTTACAATTGCAAAAAAAAGGCCAAATGAAGCAAAAATGATACAAATTAACTTCTCTCTTTAAAAAAATGTCAGAAGGTTTGATGAACACTAAAGTTCAAAAAAATAAAAATGAAAATTTTCAGGCAATTATTTCATGCTTCAGTCTTCTTTAGGGTTAACTCAATTTAAGTACTGTCCCAGTAACAAGTCAGTAGTTGTGCAATTTTTGTTGAGCTGATGATAATTTCCAGATCTGATAAACACAGAGATAAACCCACCACATTTAAGAAGTTGTCCCATGTAACTGACAGTAATGTGACCCAGGCCGGAACCACCTACTCAACAGCCGATTGTTGCTCATCATCCATGTGATTGAAACGCATGGTTATGATTTCAAGCCTTTACGGCTCTTATCTCTGAATCTCACTGACCAGAAGTAACAGCCTTCCATCCTTTCTCCCCAATGTCACTCGACTCCTGTTTTCAGAACTAACTTCATACTGTGAGAGGACGAGCAGATATGGACGGGTAAGTCGAACATCCACCACATTAACATCATGAACTGACACTTTTTCAAACTTTCATACGCGTGCTTCCAGAAAACACATCGTGTGGATGTTGATGCTTCCCATACTGGTTCTCCTGGGTGGAACAGAGACTACAGAGTCTTTGATAGATTTGAGTATGTCATCCATTTTCTATCTGTCTCTCTTTTACTGTTCATTCTTCTTGACTCCGCAACTAAATACAGCTTCTCTTTTGACCAGAAAATATTGAAGGGAAGCTTGTTTTCTATCAAATGGAGGGAAATGCCACCTACGTGAGAGACAGAGGTGAACTGGCGTCAGATGTTCCCACAGAGACTATGTTTGAACTCTTTGATCCCCAAAAGAATTTCAGCTCAGCAAAGTTCACCTATACTTGGGACTTAGGGAACGGGTATGATTTCTTACATTTTTAAATATAGATTAAAAAAAATGTTAGAGATGATTTTCTTTGTCTCATATTCTTTTTTGATCTTTGATACAGACAAGTGATTAACGGCACTGAGCCGGTTGTCCGCTATTATTACCCAGAATCAGGAAACTACACAATGTGGTTGAAAGTGGGAGCAAATGTGACCAAATATTCACCTCCGGTGACCAAAGTCTACTCCACAGAGGTTCAAGTGCTTGGTTTGTGGCTTTGAATTCATATATGCATTAATATATTCCTGTATAAATTATTTTCAGTCATTTTCAATAGGAAAAAGCAGTCTGCTGTAGGCTCAACATTCCTGGAAAATTTAATTTGAACTGTGACGTGATGACCTGATGTAACTATCAGGATTCATAAGAAAGCAGATTTGGTAGCAATTCTAAGTTAAGGTGGTTTCAAAGTAGTACTTCTTAAACTTGAGGGAGGGAGTTCATGGTGCAGAAGGGGCGTAGAGTAAAATTAAGTTGAATTAATGTGATTTATGTAGGGAAAAATTTCCAAAATGCTATCATCTTGATTTTGTGGTCTTTGTGTGGGGAAACTAGAACACTTCTGTACAGTTTTCCCAATAAAGAACGAAATGACTAATAGCTAAAACTTATTTGTAGATGCCATCAAGAACATCGAGCTGAAGGGGCCATCAGAATATGAGGTGTCACAGGACGCCAGTCTGATTTTTCATGTTGATGGAAGGTGAGCTGCATTTACCAGGAACATTGCTATATATTAGATCAATGCAAGTTTAAAATAGCGTGAGCCTGAATAGTGCCCTTTCTTTTGCATTCAGCTTTTTATTTAATATTAATTTTGTTATTGTATTATAAAGAAAAGCTCCTCAACCCTGTGTTTGTGTGTGATTTTAGTCCTCCCTTATGGGTTTGCTGGCGTTTTCTCCCCAACTGCATGCCGGACGTGACAGAGGGCTGCACGCTGACCATGTTGTATGACAACATGTTGAAACTGAACCTCACCTTCGCCTCTGCTGGCTACCACTGTCTGGACATCAGTGTCCGGAACGAAATCAGTAAGCTGCAGACCTCCTTCAGCCTCTACGTCAGGAGAAACAGTGAGTATCCACCCACAACACCAGCAGAAATACCTGCAGACATGTTGCTTTCTGTGACATTAAAGCAGAGGACATAGGGAAGAAGAGAAAGAAAAGACATAAACTGATGTGGCAGCGAAATGCTTTTAGGGCAGAGGATTGTTTAGAGGAAACAAAATGTGTTGGATAACGTCAAAAAAATGCACTGTCATGATATCAGAAAACACAGCTGAAACTCACATGGGAAAAGTGTACGTTCAGTGCTCCCTGCCAGACTTGCTCTGCTGGATTTAATCATTGTTTTTTAACTCGAGCAGTAAACTTTTCACACCCTAACCAAAACCAGAACCTAATCAAAGCCTAACCAAAGCACAGCTGAAAAATACAAAAGAATAAAGAAAGAACAGAAATAAAAGTTAAGAAAGCCGGAAAACTTTGGAAAGCTGGCCCCATTCATCAACATAAGACTGCATCTTCCTAATAGCTTCATTAGTACTACAGAGTACCGAGGAGTCGGGAGATGAATTTATTGGGAAAGTTAGCGGAACCAAGCTACTTGATCATAAATGACACAGAGGAGCTCACGATTCAGCAGCATATTCAGTTTTGAGTGCTGAGAATGGATTCTGCTTAATGACTTCTAAATGCACCTAACAGGAAGCCAACTGACTGCTGCTATAGGTAAACCTGAAGGGCCAACCTGGGAAAAAAGTGGACATCCAAGGTGTTCAGGCCAGCTTTACTAATCTAAAACAAGGGAGGCAGGTTGAAATTTCACATATGATCAAACCTTAAGACTCCCTAATTACTCCCATAACATTTACAATCTGTTTATGCCGCATGACAAATCACTTCACGCTGTGTAGAAAACCATATTTTTACTGTTCAAAAAGTACAACATGGAACACAAAATGCAAAAGCTGCATTTTCCTCTCTTTGTGGCAGCCTGTAGTAAGAGGATTCATTTTCACTAATTAACTCAGAGTTAATTAAAAAGGTTACCGGATAACTAAAGGAATGGGAGACATAAATGAAACAAAAGCACAGCAAATATTTGATATCTTGTCTGTTTTCTTTTCTGAATGAACTGTCAGAAATGCCAAATATCATCAGCCCCCCGCACCCCCTAAATTTGCAAATTTACTCAATCTACTTTTTACTGTTTTACTTTTTATACATCAATAAAAAGGTTGGGGTGCTGTGTGAAATGTACATAAAAACATAATGCAAAGATTTTTAAATCACATGTTCCATTCACACTCTAACATACGGATGTTTAAACTGAGAAAACGCTCAATGTTAAGAAAGATATGAGGTGATATTTAACGTTGGCCATCTTCAACACTGTGTAGAGTTCCGTCTTCTTTTAACAACAGTCTGTAAACATCTGGGAATTAATGAGAGCAGCTGCTGGAGCTTTGGGAGAGGAACATTGTTCCATTCTTGCATTGGATTCTAGCTGCTCAACAGTCCTCTACTCTGTTGCATTCTTTATTTCATCCATGTTTTACAAAAACAGCTGTCAACTTTGATTTGTATGATGGGCGACACACTGTTGCCTCGCTGTTGCAGTTTGGGACCTTTTGAGTGTGGAGTACGCCTGTTCTCCCTGTGTTTGTCTGGGTTCTGTCCAGGTATTCCAGCTTCCCCCCAGAATACAAAGTTATGCTTCAGTTTAGGCTTACTGATGATTTTAAACTGATCATAGGCATGAATGTGAGTGTGAATGGATGTTTGCCTCTCTTTGTTAGCCAATTAGTCTGTGACAGAGGGGCAACCTGTGTTGGGATGTACCCTGCCTTCTGCCCCATGACAGCTGGGATTGGCTCCAGCCCCCTACAACCCTGAATCAGAGAAGTGAAAGAAAATGGATTTGTCTTATAACGGAACACTTTTTCACTTTGCTTCAGTTCATGTGAAATGGCTCAGAGAAGATGGCAGCGTTTCTTGATTTGACTTAATTTTTACATACGTCGTCTTCATGCATGATAGAGTTTCCTCAGCCCGTCCAATGATCCTGCCTAAAGACAAGATCTGCATTATGCACAATTTCTCCAGATTCTCACTATCCTTTAAAGATATATATATATA